ACACGATAAATTACGTGTTTGATATTTTTTAAAAAGTTTTTATTCTTTTTAATTTATCGTGTCTACTGATGAAGATGCAAAGCATCGAAACGTTTAGACAAACATAATTTGTGGAAATAAAATTACGATCTAAAAGTATCAAAGGTTACAAAAAGAATACAAAAAATGTGTTATTTTATTTGTCCAAAATAGGTATCTGGCACGAGTTTTTGAAAAATTTGCAAAGTTGATTTTTTCATTTTTTGGAAGAATGGAAATTGGGTTTTTCAGATTCCTAATTGGAACAATTGTTTCCNGTCCTTCATTATTTTCAAAAAGCAGGGCTTTTATCCTTCTTTTCACTTTTTCTATGTGCGAATTTTTAGTCAACATTATACCAGTAATCATATTGTCGAAATATATTTCACATACTGTCTTTCAGCAATGCTGCATGCGCTTGACTAATCACGCCAACGTAGTACGACTTTGGCGGCTTAAACTCGGGACATATCATCTTCTGAATATGACTACTACTTTTGCATAGTCGCTCATCCTCACCGTGCAGAATAAAAACCGAAAAAAATGGCATTTTATCTTCACTTTCACAAGTGAATAGATGGTCGCAAGGAAACTCCGTTGTGAACAGGCAGTCAAAATTTTGACTTTTATTTCCTGAGGAGACAGCTGGACATAAATTGAAGCTTAAACTCCTTTCTGCATTTTGAGATTCCTCCGGTTTCTTGAAAGACTATGATTCACAGTTATGATTAAAACACCGAAACGCACTTTTCCAAAAAATAAATCAGAATATAGCTAGCGACGTTTTAGTCATAACTTTTTGAGGGTAATTTTTCTGGAGACCATAGGGATCTCAAAATGCAGAAAAGAGTTTATTCTTCAATTTAAGGCGTTTCCGAGCTCTCTGCAAGTTTTTACCGTCAAAACAAAATGAGCAAAAAACGTGACGCTGTGGCGCCTCTGCTAGCAGAGTTACGTGGACAAGCCGATTTATACCTTCTTCAGGCTCTCTGACTCAAAAAGGTGCTAGCAAATTTTATGTTCTGCCTAATTTTAACCAGACTTGGGAGAAAATATTTCAAGAGATGACTTCATTCGACTTGAATTTCTTTTTGTGACTTGACGTGTGACTTGCAAAACTCCTGACTTGCCCAGCTTCGGTTTCTTTACTCTAGTGAAGAGACACTTTTGGTACGACGTTGAATACTGTTTATAAGGTACACGAGGATAATGCATTTACAGGAGAAATATACTGAATCTCATGAGAAATATGAACAATTTCAATCAAAAAACATTTTTCCATGTAAAACAGGTATTTTTTGCATGTCCAGCTAAGGATACGTATATTTACATATACAGTCAAATATATTATACGATTTAAACTTTCTGATAAATTTTCGCTTCGCAAATAAAACATTAATTATACACTCAATAGCTTTTATTTTTATTTACGAAACGAATTATTTCATTCAGTCCATGCCTCATTGCCTGCTGACAAAAAAAAAATCAGTTATAACAAGAAACGGTCGAGTTTATCGCAAAAAATCTAGATAATATATTAACACCGATAACCGATTTTATTAGTCACAGTTATAAAAACAATGCTGATCAGATATCAAACATTAATAATTCATAATTGTTACATGCATCAAATCCATTAGAGCAGCAGCATTCAAAAAATGATTGTTTCATTCAACGTGACATTTAAGGTTGCGATTATGCTTACGGTACGTTAACTTGATTATTTATTTAAGCAAAAAGAAATATGTTTTTGATGATTAGTATTCCGAAGTTGAATAAATAAATAAATATATTGTCTCATATTCGGTTCTGTTTTTCTTGACCTGGATTATTATTAACAAACATGTATCCATAACATAACCATAAAACACTTGTAATGTTTAAGAAACGAAAAAAATGAAAAAATGATGACAAACATATATGTTTTAATATGTTTATTGTTGATAATTGAATGTGATGGTATAAAACAACGATCAATGCCATCAAATACAATTCATATACCTTCAAATCAAAGTTATAATGGTCTTATACATTCAGAAACATTTTATCGTAAACAACAGCAACCACGATCACATGCTGTTGGAACGGCATCGCAAACATTTACAAAAATACCGGGTTTAACTGTTCCATTTTATCATACACAACCGTTGTTATATAAAATAAGATTTGAAGGAGTGTGTTGGACATCACATTCTGAGGTAACTTGGATATTTTTACGTATAATGGTTGATGATTTTGTACTCTATGACGATAAATTATTACCAAATGTTGATACACGTTATCTAGTTATAAAAGGAGCAACGGTTAATTCAGACATTGATCTTATGAATGGTGGACATTGGCGTTTTACAGTACCAGCAAGCGTTTCTTGTTCAAAAACTGATTTTATTTATTTGAATGCAGGCCTGCATATGATTGATGTTGGTGTTCGTGGTGAACAGAAATTGCCAGTTAATGTTGTTTGGGATACATTAAGCATAGAACTAGTACAATTTGATCGTAATGTTAATATTGGACTGATACCAATAAATGTGACGTTGCCTAATTCAAGTGGTTGAAAATGTAAATTTAAACTAAAACAATTACTTCATTCATCTTAAATAATTTTTACCACGAATACTTTTTTAATCATTATATAATTTTTTCCTAAAATAAACGTTTCTGTTTGAACTGTATTAGGGATAATCCTTGTCTATACAAAATAACGGACGCTTTTAAGGTAATTGTAATAAATCGAAAATTATATCGCTTAAGCAAATAGATTATTCTCTATTTGACTTTTATATTTTCAAAGATATCGTTCATAGCCTTTAATAGTATAACCAGAGAATCGGATAGATAAGAAATACTAATCTCATGCATTTTCTTTTAAAAAAGAAATTATGTTTTAGACCCTGACAATTTACATTAAATTATCGAGATAAACTGTTACCATTTCTCTGCCATTCGATGTGTTATTTACAACATGTATAAAATCTGTCGGTTTCATATCATTATTAAATTCATCATCATCTATTTCAATAGTAATTTCAATTAGTGACAATCAAAACCTTTTAGTCAAACTATGTGCATCAACAATATTTTTTATGTTTATTATTTATCGGTTTTTAATAATATAGTTTTTTTTGTAAACTTCAATATATAGATGATTACATATAAGAAACTTTTGTCTTTTGCTAGCTTTCGCTCTCTCTGAGAGCATCAGCAGGCAATTTTTTATCTAAATTTCGTTATTATTTACATAAACTAGAAGGTCTCATTCATAAATTATGAGTCAACCTTCCATTCTATTGCTTCTTTTTTAACCAATACAATACTGTTCCTTCACTGTCACCATATTAGTGTTTTCAATGAGATCTCATTGATGCAATGATCACTCACTATCATATGTAAAGGATAACTTTGAATTCGTTAAAATGTTAAAGAACAAAATAACTGGTAGTGATGAATTGATATTATCATTCGACGTGGAATCATTATATCCTAGTGTACCTATGACGGAAGGGATTGATATTGCGGTAAAGATGCTATGGGAAAAACGAACAATGAAATTTATGAAGTTAACAAAATCAGAAACATATGTATTGTTTAATCTAGCACTACGTAATTTGTAATTTGTCCGATTGTCTGGTATTTTTTAATAATAATCTGACATTCAATTTTGATATCTTTCATTAATTTCTTTTTCCAAATTAATATGATTGCTTACCCGGATAACTGAGAACGATGTTAACTGGCATTTCTTTATCATTTGTATCATTATTCCTTTGTTGATTTTATTCATATTACTTTGATCTTTTTACTTTTCATTATGTATCGTATGTTTGACTGTTCGTTCAATTAATTTTACTGAATACCTATTACCATTTAATACATCTCTTAAGAACTTTAATTCATGATTTAATAAAACATTATTTAAACAAATACGTAATGCTCTTACCACTAACAAATTTATTAATCCTATTTTTCGATATTGTGGTAAATATGCATCCCACTTTAATTATAAATTTGTGTTTGTGTGTTTTCTAAATATTCTTGTATCATATTTTTTGTCATTTTTTCTTATTAACACGTCAAGAAATGATAATGTTTTATTAGACTCTAATTCAATCTTGAATTTATGTTTTTATGTATTTGTTTTTAAACAAATGTATAATCTTGTTTTCTATTCTGCCATTCAATTAAGAAACAAAACATAAATGTAACTAAATTACGTTTTTAAAACCGGAGTGTGTGGACGCCATACTTATAACTTTTTAACCGCGATAGCTAGAGACCTGCAGTTTTCAGATGTTGAAACTAGACACTCTGGGACGTAAATCTATCAAAAATTCAGGACGCTCAATGAGGTTTACCACGGTGTACCATGGTTCTGTTCGAGCAACATCTCATTCGAAAGCCTGATAAAAGTGAACAAAGTCACATAGTTTCTGTTTTTTCTGAACTAGGATGTGACTGTTTGAAACACACATCATTGGAGAAATGGGATTTTGAAGGGTCAAAATTTTCGAGAAAATCTTACTTTTGATCCTCCGAACATAATTTCGCTGACAATTCGAAGGATTGGCGCGATAGAGAATTCAATTTTTCACGAACTAAACGCAAAAACTTTATTTTGCGTGGTGCAAAACCTCCAAAACTTGATAGGAGGATGGCCAACCCACGGCGAGTTTTCAGTTCTTTGAGATTTTAGTCATTAAAATTTCATTTAAAAAACTAATAAGGTGATATTTGGAATCAGCATCAAAATCTGCATCAGATGATGTGCCTTTCAAGTGTTTTAGAGAAACATAAAAAATTGCGACAATTTTTTGGTTGTTTGAAGTTCAGCTTCCGAGCAAACTTTGACTAAAGCTCTAAAAGTAACAGTTGTATGTTGTAAAGGCTGTTTCTATCCTATTTTATTTATTCTTCTGTCTTTGTATTACGTGCTCCGTGTATAAGATATCCTAGTTATTCGATTTTCTCTTTTGCGGATTTTCTCTCTCGCTCATTTTATGCTTTAACCTATTCCTCTTTGTTAAATTGTTTTCAATCTATTCAATCTATCTATTTTCTCTTTCCTTTTT